CGGACCGAAAACGGACTGATGCCGGACTAAACTTTTTCGTACGGGCTGTCGGTCTCTGTGCCGGGCTGCGTGAGGCGGTCGCTCCCTCCGACCCACCGGCGGTGGGAGCAGGACAGAGAGCGGGGGAGACGCTCTTGGTGGCGGCGGGGAGTGTGTGTGAGAGACAGAGAGCGGGATGATCGGCGCAGGGCGGAGTTAGTTCGCACCCATGTCGCCTGCAATGCTACTTCAGTGGGTCTGCTTTTGTCAAAGCGCCGTTTCTCGCCTGCACACAACACACGTCGAGGGAAGAGGCCACGAGTATCGGAGCTCACGGTTATTATCGTATCGACTGGCTTGCCGCAGTGATTTCAACTACAGTGGCCCAAAGTCGTGCGTATGTGTGTGCGCGCGCGCGTGTCTTGTGTGTGCCGTCACATGTTGCGGACGCTTACGCCACTCTGTTTAAAGCCAGCCCGAGTGTCGTTCGTATATCGTGGACCTACGTCTACGACCTGATTAAGCAGACTAAGTTTGTGTAGGAGAAATTTGCCCACTAAATGTTTCATGTATTCATAGGAAGCTAATGTGCCGAGAAATTTTATCGATTAATTTTGCATGATGCATTTGTACAGGCATTGTTTGCTTTAAAAATTGTCTAGTTTTTAAAAACACATGTGTAACACACGTGTGCGTGTGACACATGACACATGTGTTCACAGTGTTTACTGTAGTTTTAAAACTACCCAAAGTACCGTCGTAAACGCTCGCATGGAAAACTCATCCCATAAACTGTGTCTGTGACGGGATGTGGACGGGTCGACACATGCTCGTTCCGATCCCCAGGAAGTCATACATGAAGTGTGACGTCGGATTAACTGATTTACTCCGCGGAGTCCCGCGACACCTCGCCCCGCCTCGTCAAGGGGTCGGGCAGACCGGCGGCGGCAGGGCCCCGATGACTGACGACGAGACGGACGACTCGACAGTCCGAACCCGATCCCATCAGTCGAGGGCTCGTATGTCTTTTTCCGCATTACAGTGAGAAAAAGTGTACTGCTGCAACAACTAGGTCAGTAAGCAGCGCGCCACGCCAGGCACTGGTCGAGCGGGGCGAGGAGGAGGGGGGGGGCGAGCGAATGGAGAAAGGCCCCATCAGCCGCGGGCTGAAGAGGGAGAGAGAGGGGAGAGGGGAGGTAAAGACAGAAAGAGTGGAGAGAGAGAGAGAGGGGGAGAGACAGAGAGAGAGAGACACACACACATGGAGGAGAGGAGGGAGAGGAGCAGGCCGTTGCGGCGGTGGCGGCGGTGGCCCGCTGGCGGACGAGACGGAGGGAGTGAGAACCGTTACTCCAAGGTGGCCGTCGATGTCCGTTGGCACTGCCATTCGCCATGCGCGCCTCGACCCCGCACCGCTGCCGCACCTGCCGCTGCCGCACCTGTCGCGTCGCGCTGTAGCCGCTGCAGCTGTGGCGGCCGCTGTCCCCCCGCCGCGCTGCGTCTACTGTGAGGTTCACGCGACCTGCGGCGGCGGAAAGTAGGGAAAGTACCTCGTCAGTCGTCGCTGCATTCGTCTGGTGCAACAAGTAACTGAACGCGTGTTGACCGCTGGGAGTGTCGCCAAAGAGCTTAGCTCTTTGAGTGTCGCCCGGGGCTACTACCGTCGCGCCGTCCGGCCCGGCGCGCTCAGGCGGAGATGGCGATACCCTGCGCGGGCCCCGCCGATACTCCGCGAGGGCCGGGCGCGGCGTCTCTTCCTGCCTCGCGGGGAGATGGGTAGGCCACCTGTTGCATCGCAGCCGACAGATGGCGCCCCTCGTCTGTCGCTGGAGCGGGAGAGGGAAGACCACCGTACCGTATCGTCCGGGAAAGAAAATCAAAACTCTTTCGGTTTTCGTACATTTACTGCATGTATCACAGCTAAATCGAAATATAATTTGTCTCTCGTGTCTTGTTGGGCCCAGTCCTCAAGTGTGGACTAAACCATTCTTTGACAACAGTTTTTTCATTGATTTCTGCACGCAGGTGTTATACAGCCGTAGAACCTAAGTTTCTCTTGTTCACCTAGTAATCTTAATTATTGAAGTAGAAATGTCATTCATCTTAACGTCCCTACATTACATACGCAAAACCATTACAGATTTTACTAACAATATCATTTTTTTAATCTGGATGATTTTTTTAACGCTTCTTACTATTTTTTAAAAAGTACTAAACACAAATAGTTACAGCGATAATTTTTAAAGATATATTTAATAGATAACATTTCCTATGAAGGCAAGTCTCTGCTGGAGCAGAGATGTTATTAAAATGGAGAACTTGTCGTTTTAATTCTCCAATAGTTTTGTCTTGAAAAAGAAAATAACGAGGACAATGGACGGCCCCATGACATAGGGAAAGCAAAATGCGTACATTAATTTTCAGTCCAACACTCGCCAAGGTTTCATTATATTCGCCACAGATTTAAAAGCTTTATCCTGAGGCGCTGCGAACGTTGCGCAAAAACGTTATAAGCGTATTCCCTTAAACCTGATTAAAATCACTGTACAGGACCCACGCACGCACACGTACACGCACACACACACACATTTGATCATTTACACCAACGACAATAACAACTTTTACAACTGAAATAACAGCTGTTTCTGTACGTATGTAATTACAAGTGAAAATATCTTTTCATTAAAACCTAATTTGTACAAATAGTCTTTATCTAAAAAGTAGATTGAGTGACGTTCCAGGTCGTAAACAACAGGCACTGCACGAGATATGTAACATCTGTCTGGTTGAGCGGATTCTGCACCCCTAATCCCAATAGGCTCGGCTGAGTAGCGAAATGGAATTCAGCAAAGACAGTCCTTTCAAGAAATTTGCTGTGGGATGCGCACCACTTTTCAGCACAGGCGGGCGCAGGCCAGGGCGGCGAGGCCGACGGCAAAGCGGAGGCTCGGCTGAGCTGCCGGGGCGGAGGCCGTGGCCGAGGACGCCGAGCTGGCCGGCCTGGAGGCCCCCCGCGTCGAGGCCTCACGCGAGTTCTTGCTGCTCACGCTGTTTTCGGGCACCTCGGCGCCTTTCCGCCGCTTCTCTGTAAGGAGAAAAAATGTTTTATTGTACCAGGTAGGAGCCTACTCAGCGCCATTAAAAAGGACAGTCTATCATTAAAAATTGGTCCAGGGTGAATCTGGCCCCGTGGTCTCGCCGGTCCTTGCCTTGTCTGCCATCTGGCAGTTCCTTGTCGGCGTGTGATCCTTTCCTTCGGTCTGCCGGGGGCGTCGTGGGCTGCCGCGGCGGGGGTGCTAAACGGAAAGTTGGTATTGTTCACAAGAAGAGACTCTACCGCCACGGAGAAGTTTTACTGGATTCCTCTTATATCTACTTACTTGTTGTCGTAGTCGTCGTGGTGGTAGTCGTCGTTGTTGTCGTAGTAGGAGGTGGTAAGGTTGTCGTTGGTTTGACTTCTGAAAGACGCAAGAAGCGCAAATGAGAGTGAGTCAACACACACACCAGCAGAAAACATAACTGATGTCTTAAGGGTTGAAATGGCATGCACCTAGAAATGTACAACACCTTGTCGGATTCTATTTTTTAATGGGAATGTTTATGTTTTCAAGTGTTTAACACCAAGGTTGAGCAATGCTCTACTCCAACGGTAAGCGAGTAGTAAGATCTAAAAAAAGTCTGTTAAAATTTCCAGTACAACACTTGCAAACATACAAATTTCCAGTTAAACATCTGCTGGTTTACAACATGGTGTTTCACGTTTGCAGGTGCTTACAAATTCATCACTTTATTTATTCGTGAGGTGCTATTTCGAAATACTCCGTCATGACAAGTGATAAACGAACCATATAGACGGACAACCCCCTCGCCGATGCCGTAGTCGTTCTGGGCGAAGCACTTGTACTGCCCGTAATCCTTCGCCTGGACTCTTGTGATGTTCAGAGTGAGCAGGACACGGTTTTCCTTGGCGGTGTTTTCCAGGACCTGTTGGCTAACTGCAACAAATCACACATACGACGAAAACATTTTTCAGTTCTAGTTGACGGGTTTGGAACGCCGGCGCCGGCAACGACGTGAGCCAGCCAGAGAAGAGACGGGAAGGGGGGTTCGTCGGGCGCTGGCCTACTGGCCGAGAAGGAGAAAATCACACGTCTTTGAGTGATCTGTTGGGGGCTGTCGCACACTCGCGCGGCATAACTCATCCCATCCTCGACACGCTGCGCTACGCAAGCCCGCGTCAAAACTTTCCGCGTTCACACCGGCTGTCCAAAATTTCGTAATAAGCGCACGTTCTCCTTCTTCTTGGCACCGTGCGTCGAAGAAACTAGTCGCGCCTTCCCGGAAAGAAGTCCGCGAATGCGAAGGACTGTCAAACCAGCTGCGCGTACGCACCAGAAAAATTGGTTTCTTGTTCTCTACATGCTTATACCAGATCAAATTAACTGTTCAAGGGCAAATTTGATCTTGATCTCATTTACTTGAAACAAAAAGAAGAGATGTGTACGAGATACTTCAAGCCGGTTTTCTGGTCGTGGTTGAGCCTCTGGTTTTTCATTCTGACTCATAGGTTTAATCTGCCGCTCTGGTGCATACTTACAGCTCGCGTTGTTCGGCAGGGTCCAGTATCCGAGGGGGCGCGGGTAGGACTCCACCAGACAGGCTAGGGTGGCGTGCTCGCCCAGCACCACGGGCACAGACGGCCGCGTCACCGTCACGAGGGGGGCGACTGTGAACAAGACGCACTTAGTGACGAAGCACCTCGAGCGATTTATCGCATCGGAATGAGGGACGCGAGGCACTCACAGTTCACTTTGAGCATGATGCGCTTGCTGATGGTGGGTGGGACGCCGTTGGACGCGATGCACAGGTACGCCCCCATGTGGTGCCTCGTCACGTTGGTGATGTTGAGCGTCCCGCCCTCCACTAGTTTCACTGAAAGCGAGAAGAGGAAAAAAATTACGTTAAGAATCAAAAAATAAAATGAATGTGCATACACTTGCATGTTGTTTTTTAACCCTCACCACCTAAATATGCGCATACCTTCCCCTTCGCCCTCTCACTCCCGCCTTCCGACCTCTTTGCTGACCTTCGGTGTTTACAACGAGTTTTGTCAATCTTATCGCACCGACCCGTCGCCCCCACCCCCCTTGCGCTCCTACCCCTCCACCTCCTCGAGAGCACCAACTCGCCTAATTACGAGGCGCCCTAGTGCCGCAATAAAACTTGGCGACGGGCCGTATGCCGGCATTAGGCCCCCAAGTCGAGTCCCGAGCAGAGTGAGGTCGGCCGTCGTCAGGAAAGTACGGCCATCCCGCGGCGCGTCATAGCCATCGCACATCGTCGCCGAACTTGCTTGTTTCCGCGAAACTTACCCGTTCCCGTCCTGCCTACGGGCCCAAGCCGGCCTCCCCAAACCGCAGTGCATGTATCTCCCGATGACCAGAGCCCCGCCAGGACCCGCCGCAGGACCTGCCAGGACCCGCCAGGACCCCCCCAAGCTTCGTGGAAACTTTCTTTTGTTTCTTTTCCCCTCTCTTGCTCCTCCTCCCCGAGAAAGCATTCACTATTCACGATCACGCAATCCCAGGAATGACTTCCCACCCACTCTTGCGGTCCCAACCAAAGATTTGTTGACTGCGGCAGCGAGATTTGAAGGTCTGAGGAGTGGCGGGGCGGGGCGTGGTGGTCCAGGGTCCCACTGCGGAACAGGGCGGCAGGGCGGGTCGTGCCAAAGTTTTATCTTGCTGAAAGATGTCTGGGTCCCCAGCCGTCCCTGTCTGGCAGACAGCAGGCAGGGCCAGGCGAGCCTCGCCAACACCAAGAACATCATCAGCAACAACAAAGACAACAGCCGCACAGGGCGTCGTCGTCGTCGACTCGGTGACCTCCTCCTCCCGCCGCCACAGCCCGGCAGCCGGCCGCGGCGGAGGGCGGGGTCCCCACCGAGTGCATCTCTTCCCGACGTGCGAATTTATGACTCCCTCCCGCAACAAGATGGCGCGGCATTCGATTCCCGTGCCAAATTCGTCCGGGATTTTTCCATAAATATATTCCCGGCAACATCGCCCGCCAGCGCCCCGTCCCCTCACACAACACACCGCAGAGGGTGTGTCTTTCCGCTCCTGAGCGAGACAGAGATGAAGGTCTCCCTCTCCCCCCTGAGTCCCCCCCTCCGTCCCCGCCGTCCCACTTGTGTGCGTGAGAGGCGAGGAGAAGAAGGGCGAGCGGGACCGGAAAGCGAGGCGCATTATTCCCAATATCAAGCGATTTCCGGTAATCGCAAAAAAGAAAAAAGGCGAGCAAAAAGATAAAAAAATAAAAAAAATCCTGTCGCATCCAACGGGGCCAAAACAGTGTCGAGAGTGTGTGTGGAGCGGGAGCTGTGAGTGTTGTTGTTGCTGTTGTTGCGGTGGTCGCGCCCCGCGGTTCAACGAGGTCACGCCATGCAGGGCGAACAAGGGTCGCGACACACGCTAAAGTGCTCTCATTATCTCTCTGCGAAATGACTTGTTGCCGGCTCATTCCGCGCGGCGAGGTGTGGAGAGCAACACGCGCGGAAACACTCGCCCACCCGACACACACCACAACTCAACCAACACACGCGCCCAGCCCACCTTATTCACCCCGCGTCTTGTGTTTTCTTGACAGTTGTTAAAATAACGATCGTGGGGGTGAAAAGGTGTAACAATAAATGCACTAAACAGGTTTTAGTTGATTGCAGTGAACTTAAATTCGCAAGTACTTTACTCTACTATGATTACGAGACAAACAATTAACGCGGAGAGCAACAACGGCCACACGTACTAGCGCCACATAATAAGGAAACGCACACAAGCACAGTCGTAGCTCCAGTTCTAGACCTCTCAAGGGAGAGATCATCTCCTCTAATCGCCCCTCGCGTGGGCCACAAGCGAGTAGGGATGATCATGAAAGTTCGTCCGTTTTTCTCCGATTTATTATTGGGCATATTAGACGGGGGCTCGGCGCCTGCGAGACTCAGGGTAGGCCACCCTGCAGTGCTCGCATGCACTGTACGGAAGATGTTGCCTACCAATCAGGCGCTATGAGCGCTGGCAAGGCTGGACTTGGCACACTGTTAAAGTCTTACGAAGAAAAATGCCAAATCCTTTGTAATACGAAGTATTTGGACGCTTCGTAGGGAGCAAATCCTTCGTAGGTACGAAGCATTTGGCATTTTGCTTCGTAAGACTTTAACTCTGCAGAGGTTCGAAAGTACGGCTGATCCCGTAGGCATGCGGAAAAAAGAGTTAGACCCCCCCCCCCCCAACGAAGTGTAAGTTGATTTCCGGATAACTAACTGGTTCCAGCGAGGGTTCCAGTTCCAGAAACGAGGGGGCCACCACTCGCGTAATCCTGTGTACAGATGAGGGTGTAATCCCTACGTAATCATTATCTATTCCGTGTAATCCTTGACCAAATTTTAAAACATTATCACTAAATATTACCTTATTGTCCAAATTTGATGATTTTAGAGCCTGAAATTCAACAAAATTCACGTGTAATCCCTGTCATCACGCAATCCTGTGTACATCCTCAATCCATGTTGTGGCCCCCTCGTCCAGAAACCAACATTAAGTCGACGTTGTTGTGGGGAGAACGGACGCGTTCCTTCCGTGGACGAAGCAAGGCCTCGTTCCCGCGACGAAATGTTGGTTGCAACAACCAAATACTGGTATCTGCAAACACTTTGATTGGGGGGAACTAAATCTTTTTTCCGTGCAACCCGACCGCGCGCGTGCGTTCGACACGGCGTCTACAAACCAGTCGGGCGCTCAGCTCACGCGTAGTGTAAGACGGGCTCCGCCTCCGCGACCGCCGAGCGTCCCTCTGTCACTGTCGCCGTCGTCACTCGGCCGGACCGGAAATGCGTTCGGCGATATATCGGACCGGAACCAGGTCGGCGACAAGCCGGATACTTGCATTCAGTGACCGGGCCCGCTTGCCCTCACCGCGTCCGCCTCACTTCGCCCCGCTGAACCTCCACCACCACCGGGAGCTGACCGCTCGTCATTTCTTTCCCGCTCGGCCCATTGGGCTTCACGAGACGTTGGACCGGACGCACACACCGGGGGCGGCGCCATTCACCCCGCCTCCCTTCCCTGCCCCCGCCGCCCCCCGCGGCGCCCGCCTCAAAGAGATCGCCCTCCGATTAAGTAATTGCACCGATCCGTTCTAGAGAATGGTGACGCCCGCCCCGCGGCCACGGCGGCGCGCAGGGGTGCGGGCGAGGGGCGGCGCTGCGCAGATTGGAACCGCGTTACCCGGGGGCCGTAACGCTGGTGCATGAGTCACCCCACCGCGCCGCCGCCGCCGTCGCCGCCGTCCCGCCCGGCACCCGGGGAGCCTCCCTCAGGTGGCGCAGAAAAATGTCCCGCTCGTGGTTTAGACAGGGGGCACAGCGAGTTACGAGGGGTGGGCGAGGGTGGGCGCGGGTGGGTGAGGTCGTGGGGGAGAGAGGGTGCAGTGTAGTGGGCGCCCACCTAGGGGGGTTTTGGGCTCGGGGAGGCAAGGTGAATCTTCGAAGGGGAGGAGAGAGAGAGAGAGACGAGAGAGCGAAAAAAAAAGGAAAAGAGGAGATGGAATAAAGAGAGAAGAGAGAAATAAGTGAGAGAGGGACGGGGAGATGTGAGCAGGGGCGTCGGAGGTGGGGGTAAGTGACCCGAAGAGCCCCCTGAGGGCCCCGGGGGTCTGGCCGGGCCGAGGGCTGCCCGCCTGCCTGCCAGCCTAGATGGTGGCGTCTCGGAGCAATCTCACAGCGACCACACTGGTAAAACAAGTGTGCAATATTTGCACACCAACGTGTGCAAGTTGTGATTTTGCACATTACATGGTGTTTAAC